CCTATTTTTCAGGGGGAAAAAAGAGATGAAGATGTGTATTTCTTAAGGGAAACTCAAGGAAAAGGTAGTTCTGATTTCCTTGAGTGTTCCCCAGGGTTTAAATGTCCTGAATGCCCATCTTGGCTCTCTGAAGGCTGGTGGGGACTCAGTTTTTGCACTGCTTTTCAGAGCTCAGTGCTTTTAGCCAGGCCTTCATTTTTTTCCTCTCAACAAGCTGAATTTTCCATGTTTGTCCTGCCTTGTGCTCCCCAGCTGCCTAAAACAGATCCAATTAGCTCAACCCTGCAGGCACAGCTTAGTGGTGTGAGATTTGTCCAGGCTTTCTTTGCCCTCAGGAAAAGGAGGCAGCAAGCAGAAGTATTAAATAGAAATCTGTCATTTTTTAGCATATTGCATGGCAAATTAGAAAAAAACAGCAAATAAAAATAAGCAAACAAACAAAGGCTAAAACCTGACCTTGAATAAAGGGAATCAAATAATTTACATCTCAGAAGATGGTTTCAGTCATTTCACCTCAGCCCTCAGTTTGAACTTCTGAAGCTGTTTTGGCAGCCATGAAGGATAAAATATAAATTTGGCAGAGCACAAGGGTTCCTGGGTCATAGTGCATTAACTGGTTTGGTTGTTTTCCTTCTCAGAGTTGAATTACTACCATGGAAATGAGAGTGGAAGTGGAATTGCAGTACAGTAACCACCACTGCAATGGAACTGGTGTGAAATATTAACATCTGCCTTTAGGGCCCCTCTCTTTTCTTCACCCTTCCCACTCCCCCAGTGCTCCTATCTAAATTAATGTCAAGTAACTAGTTGAGAGACTAGTTAATTTAAAATTCTCTGAGGAGAGGGGAAATCTTCATGTAAGCAAAAATGTGGTCAGCAATATTTACCACGGCAGTTTCACTCTGTGTTTTTAAAATGTGAATTTTGCTACTATAAAATCCTCTTTAAACTGAAGGATTTCTTCTTTGACAGAGTCTCCTGAAGATGTGGCTCCAACAGTTGGGTTTTCCAAAATTAATCTTAAACAGGGACGCTTTGAAGTCACCATCTTTGATTTAGGAGGTGGAAAACGGATCCGGAATATCTGGAGGAATTATTATGCTGAGTCCTACGGTGTCATATTTGTGGTGGATTCCAGTGACATTGAAAGAATGGAAGAAACAAAACAAGCCATGACAGAAGTGTTAAAAAGCCCTAAGATATCAGGAAAACCTGTGTTAGTGTAAGTAGCTTAATAAATGTTCTCCTAATTATCTGAAATTGGGTGAATTTAGACCTAAAGAACTATTTCTGTAACTAATACTGCTGGAACTTTAGCACTAACCAATATTGCAATTAGTTTTATGGTTTTATGTTTCATTTTATCCTTCTCAGGGATATTTATTTCTCTCCTCTTTCATTAGCCATAGAAAAACAACAAGGTGAGATTTTTTAACACTTTAAAATTCTAATATTACTTGAAATACTAGGTTAAAAGGCTTTATAAATTTGGCATGGCAGCATGATGCAAAAATATTGTTACTACTTATGCCTACATCAATTAATTAAATAGTGAATGGTTGATTATACTCAGCAATAGGGTGATCTCTCAGCAATAAATGTCTTATTTACTTAATACATGGTGCTGCTGACATGATCAACAAAATCTCATTAAAGGAGGCTTGCTTTAGTTGTATTAGGCACCTGCTTTTTTCTCTGTTTAAAAGAGAAAATTGTTTGTAAAATATTGGAAAGAATATATTTTTTGTAAAAATATTGGAAAGAACATGTTTTTTAAATTCCACACCAAAAATATTTGCTAACATATAAGCTTTTGAAATTAAAAAATAAACTCTTAAAATTTAAAATGGTTCGTCAAGTCAGTATCTTCATGTCTGGTGAACATAAGACCTCCATAATGCAGAAACTGCACAACATCTCTGTGCTATCATAAAGAATCTGTACAGGTAAGAGGAGAGAACTCTTAGTTTTAAGAAGTAGTGATGCTCTGCTGGTTTGAAGCTGAGCCTGGCTAATTGTGTTGATGAAGTGGAGGGTAGTTCAGCCAAGTAATGGTGTATATGTTGAAAATAGATTAGATTTTACCTTTCACTGCTCTGCGTGTTACCGGCACAGGCAAGGCAATAAAGCCAGCTTAGTTTAACTCAAATGAAAATGCAGCTGGGACTGTGGAAAGCTGTGCTGTGTTTTTTGATTAAATACGACTTTATGGGGGGTTTTGGGTTGTATTTTCGTTTTGTTGGGTTTTTTTTTTTTTTTTGTAGAAATCTCTATAATCCTATAATGGAATTATATTTGTGTGGCTGACTGGAGCTGCAGAGACTTTATTCACTTCCCTGGATCTTGATATTGCTTTGATCCTTATCAGTAGCTAATCAGAAGGCAGAGTGTATTTATTAATTGCTCCAATGGTGACTAAACCGAATTTGTTGATGTTATTACTTTTTATTAGATAAAACTTCGAGCCTTTGATCAGATTTTGCTTTTGCAGTATCCCAATTCTGTGGAGGGATCCAGAAGTTCTTTGGTTTGTGCTCCTGTGTGAGCTTGCCTCTTGAGTTAAGAACTCTTTCCTGTATTGTCAGATTTCCAAATTTATGCTGAAAATTAGCCTTTTTAAATATCATATTAATTTTAATGTTTAGATTTTGTTTGTGGGCTTTTTTGGTTTTGTTGGGTTTTTTTTTGAAGACATACTTGCTACCCATGTAGCAAGAAGTTCCCCAATACCTTTCTACATTAATTGGTGCATTTTAATCTATGCAGAATAGGCTGACTTGCACAATGTGGTCATAAAATTGCTGCTAAATTCTCTCATCTTACAGAAATATGGGAATATGAGAAATCTGATGTTCCATGTGATGTTTTCTACAAATTTTAATTGCTGCTCTCCCATGCTGTTATTTATTGCTGCCCATGGAGGTGTCACAGAAGCATTTTAAGACAATTTTCCTCAAATGTGATAGTATTGTCTTTTACTGTCTCTTGGTATAGATTACACAGAGATGTTAAACTTCTCATTTGGGTTTTTTTACTGTTCAGTGTTATCACTTTATTTATGGGTAAATTCTTCTGGCAGCATCCTCAAGACTTGTGTACAAGTTTAAATTTTCTTCACTTAGGATTATTTTTGTCCTTTCTTTTATCAGAAAGGAGCACACAGACATCATATTATGCAGGCAAATCCTGGGATTTTTTTGGGATTAGTTGTGTTTGTTTGGAGTCTTTGTTTTAGTTTTGTTTTTTTGGTTTTTTTTTTAATTTAAGTTGACATGGACCATGTACAAGAGCAAATGCAAGCCCATGTGCTGTGACTGATATTTTATACCAAGGAGATTTTTGGGCAGGTATTTTGCTAGGAGAAAGCTTTTTCTACCTGTTATTTTGGTGATAAGGGATTATAGCTATTAATGTTTCACTTCTCTTCATAGAACCCTTGCAGCTGGGCTCTTATTTGTTTAGTTTTCTGCATATTTATGTAAGTACTGAAAACACTGGGAAGTTACTTTAGTGATTATTGCAGATTTCTACTGCTAATCATTTTGAATGCTCAGTATCAGATTCAATGTAAACTGTAGCTCATACTATTATTTCATACTATTTACTTTCTGTTAATAGTACCCCCGTATCAAGGAAAAGTTTTCCACAAGTCTTTCTCATTTCCCAGTTCTCCTTCAATGTGTTTTATCTGTTATGCCTGTTTCTAACCAATTTACATCTGGAAATTACTTAATCAGGCAGCTCCTTTCCTAAGTATTAAAACTTGACTTTTGAAAACTTGAGTTTTATTCCACTACTGGAAGTACAGCCTGTTTATTGGCAAATTTCTACTCTGCCCTTGGAACATAAATGTTTTTTTAATATATGCAGTTAAGGGGAGAGTATTTAATGAAATTGTTTCAGTGATGTCATCATCTAAGTTTATTTTTTGTTGCTACTGTGTAAATAATATTTTTTACTTTAAGGTTGAGACCTTTGATTATATTTTGATAGCAGTTAATTTCAGTTGCAGTTTTGCTCTGGGATGGAAGGAATCCAACTATTTCTAAATACCACAATGTGAAAATTTGATTGTAGATTATTTTTTTCCCCACTACATGCAACTAAAGGCATCCAGTTCACTTAGTGTCTTGCTGAATTGCAGTGCAGTTTTTCCTGCCTTCTCTGACTATCCAAATAAAGTGTCTTTGCACAGCACAAAGCCGTTCAGGAATACATTTCTGGTTTGCTGTTTGGTTTTAATGTGGAAACTTTTTTTTATTTCTTCTTAGAAAGAACTTTTTCATCTCCGTGACATTGCTATTGTCTGTTAAATTGCATGGAGAGCTATTTCTCACTCACTTCCAAAAGGAGTTGGTGGCAGGAGGTTTCTTCCAACCTAAATCATTCTCTGGTTCTAGATTATAGGGGAAGAGTAGGGGGTGTAAGGATGGAGTTCTATTTTTTTGTTAATTTTTGTGCTAGCAAAAGTGAGACTGCAAATGTGATTATGTATTTAGGTAGGACAGGCAGCATTAAGAATGTGCCTTGTGGGAGTATAATTAAGGATCATATTCCTTATCGTGGTAGGGCACTGTCTGTGGAGCTAAATAATATAAGTATCTCTGTGTCAATTTATGAAAAGTTTATGAACTTTTCCTATAGATGTAGTATTGAAACATTCTTGATATGTTTTCTGACCTCTTGTTTGGTTTAGGCATCCCATTCTGGATTGTTACTAATGGTGTCTGCTTCATGTGTGGAGATTTGTTTTGTAGAATTTTAGACTCCTGGGGGAAAAAACATTTAGAATTTGAGCAAGTAAATATAGATGCTAAAAAAAGCACAAGGCAATTAAAAATACTTATTATTATTTTGTGAAAAGTAAGTAAAACATTCCTCTGAATCCTGTCTTTGAGATTAACAATATTTTCAATGCCTCCCAACAGCACAGGGAGTTTGTTGCCGTACTGTTTTAGCTTGAAGAACCAAACTAAACTTTGAAGAAGTTTATAAGAACACAAAAAAAGTCACTTATATCCTTTGACCCTTTCCTGTAGTTCATGTGTTTCTGTGAAAACCATAGAATTCTTTACTCTGTCTTGAAAAACAGATGCAGTTTTTCCTGAGAGCTCTGCTGAAGGGAAAATGGGAAGAAAAGTGAAGCAGTTGAGGGATGCCAAGAGTGCTTTCAAACATCAGTTTGGTGTGGAGGAACCACTGGTATTTCAAGCAGTTAATTCCTGGTGTCATCTGCAGCACGGACAACACCAGCAGCAAATTGCTTTGCAAGGGTTTCTTCTTTTATACCTGACTGCAAGCCCAAACTTTTCTTTAGATGCTTGAGTATATTCTTGAGCGTTGTTCATGTAGATTTCTATGTTGTTGATCATCTGCCCTTGCTCCTCCACCAGAAGCGAGATCTGGATGAAGAGTTCTTTCACATCTTTGATCTGGTTCTCCAGATTGACCAGTTCTTTGTGTCTCTGCTCAATCTCTGACAGCTGAGCTTTAGTAATCTTGACTTCAGTGAGCAGATTTTCATTGAAAATCTCCCACTTTCCTTGCTGGAGCATGTCATTGACCTCCTCCTCAGACAGCTCTTTGCCAGCCACCTCGAGCTGGCGCAGGATGAAGGTCCTGCACTTGTCCTGCTTGGCGGTGATGGCCTCGTTGTAGGCGAGCATGGCGTGCAGGTAGCGGTGGGACAGGAAGGCGTGCTGGGCCGCCAGGATCCTCACCGCGGCTCGGGCTGGCCCCTGCTCGCTCTCAGCTCTCCTCACTGCTTTGGACAGCTCATCCAAACCTCTGCGGACGTGCTCTGCCTGCAGTTTGATTTCCCTGGCTATGTTAGACTCCTTTTTGAGAACGCTGAACCTTCTCATTGAGGACACGAGGCTTTTTTGTTGTTGGCTGAATTTATTGACTTCTTCCACCAGGTTATTAATTTCGTTCTGAAGCTTCTGGATTTCGTGCAAGTGCCTTTCAGTGATGGGCTCTTTTTCATAAATAATGGCCTGCTGTTCAAACTCCTCCTGCTCCTCTCCTTGGACAGTTGCACCATTGTTTTCCCCACCCATCTGTAGTTCCTTAGCCCTCAGTCTGAGCTCTTGCAGACGGTCTCTCATGGTTTTTGTGGTCAGGATTCTTTGCTGCTTTTTTCTTCTCCCTTCTTGCAACACAGGAAGTTAATTCCAGTATCTTTTTTGTTTGGTTTGTTTCATTGCACTGTAATCAAAATGTAACAACAATCAGTGTTAGTGGTTATATGTATATATGAAAAGTAGTTTTGGGATCAGAGCTACTTCTCTCTGCACCAAAGTAAAAGTAGCAATGACTTGGAACGGGGGGTATTCTGAACAAGTTGTGATTTGTAGCCCAAGGCCATTTTTGAGGTCTATTTGTGAACTGAGACTGGAGAAGTGTGGGGAGGTAGAATGTTAGAAAATAAAGCTAGTGCAGAAGTACCCCCATCATCTCACCCCTGATGAGTTGCAGCTGTAGTAATTGCTAAAGATTAGGAACAGGCCACAGCTGTGTCTAGTAAGGATGAGTGCTGTAAAGGAGTGGGTTAGCTGGAAAAAGAGAGCTGGAGTTTGTTGGTTGTGCTGTGAAGAGCTGCCTGTGAGACATCACCAAGAAGGTGTGGAACTTTTGAAATAACAACAGAGAAGACTTTTATTTTGGGGAGGAAGAGAGAAGTCACTCCAATTATTTTACTGTTACTCTTTACTTGGTTAAAACGAATCAACTTATAAATCTTTCTGGAAGTAGAAGTGAGTGTGGCTGTGCCATTTTTGGATTCTTAGTAGGAAATATTTCAGTTTTTGGCATTATGAGACAGACTTTGTAACAAATCAGCATTCTGGCATGAATTAAGATTATTAATTTGGCCACCCTCAAAGACCTTTCTCCATTTTCCTTGCCTGGAGAGTTAGATAGTAACTGAAGCAGTTAGCTACAACAAAACAGAAAAACAGATCCCTCATCATTTCAGAACTCTAATAATTTAGCATGGAAACAAATTAATTTTTTATGTTTGAGCTTTTGTGGAGTTGAATCCATATCACTGATGTTGCAGCATGAAGATTTTCTAAGCCTTTTTGAATTATTGTTATCTATGCTTACACTGTCATTTACTTTCTTCATAAAATTGATGCAAATGTGTATTGTGAACCACAGTGAGCTATAAGTCAGTGCTGCTTCTTATTTAACAGAAAGCAGATATAGTTTTGTTTTGTTCCCTAGCTGTTGTGCAAGCTTTACTGGAGAGATAATTAAGAGCAAGCTATTTTCTAAAACACGCCCAATGGAAACTAAGTTCAGCTATTTTTAATCATAGGGAAGAAGGTATTTCTCTCAAACTCTACATAAATGATTTCCTTGGAGTGTGATCAAGAATGGAAGATTTCAGTAAGAAGTAACATGTTCAGGACTAGAAGATTATGGGATTTTTATTTAAGGTCTTCTGGTTCAATCAGATGTGTGGCTTTCAAAGGGCTGTGCAAGCATAAAGGTTAAACAGCACAGTAGTATCTTTTGGCTGTTTCAGAGCTTTTAGGGCTGTTTTCTGAAATAGTAGCATTAAATAGGTGTAACTCTTATTAAACCCTGGTTCTACAGATTTTATTTGGTTCTTAGCAAGCAAATGTAGGATTTCTTAATAGTATCCAAAAGATGCATTTTTAGAAACTGCAAAGGGTTTATCCAGTAACTTGTCAATATGCAAATGATTCTCTTCTACTTGAACAGTTCCAAATGACACTGCTGTGGTATCTCTGCTCTCCCATGCATATTTCACGTCTCTAAATAGATTTTTGTGTAAGTCATGGAGTTGAGCAGTGTGGACACGTCTTCACAGACTTAAATTGGGCTTTCTGCAGGAGGATTAGCTGAAAAACAAACCTTGAAATGCTTCAGAGGTCAGTCATGAGAAAGAATGTTGATATTCTACCCTTGTGTGAATTTTCTTTACTGCTTTTTTTTCCCCTAAATGGCTTAATATTTGAATTTAGTGTTTGTTGATTCACATCAAGAGAAGACTTGTGATCAGAGTTTACAAGTTATTTATTGGGGAGTGTTATTCTCAGGTGAGGAAAATGCAAAATGTGTTCATTTCATGACAGTAATGCTTCTCCACTGCTGAATTTTTCAGTGGATGTCCCCATGGCAGAAGCAGGCAGTTTCTGCCTGATAACATTCTTCAGGAATGTTCCAGAGCTGCTTGGCACCACCAACAGGGAAAGTTCAGCCTGGGGCATGTGAAAGGACCCAGGGCTGCTAAATAGGGCTTCAGAGATGTGACCTGAAAATCTGTTCTAGTCCAGCCTCACACATCTGCTGACCCATGCTAATTTAGCAGGGCTGGGCAAACCTGGGATTACAAGCAAGTTCTAAGGGTACCATTAATGCTCATGCTGTGAGGTGACAAGAATTTCTTGCATCCAAGGGAATTGGTGCATTGTTCTTGAAATAGCTGTGCTCCTTGGAGTTGGAGGGAGGAACCTCACAGAACTGCAAAACAAATCTGCAAATATTGTTAAATATTGGAGAAGTGAGCAGAAAATACTGGAGATTTTTTTTCTTGTTTAAAGATCAGTCTCACAAAAGACTGGAATGCAAGCAATTGAATTTTAGTTTCATATCTTCTCTACTGTTGGGCTTGCCTTCAAAGCCTGCCACTGAACAGGCTTGCCAATAATTGTGCTTGATTATAGTGGCAATTGGAACACATGCTGGTTTCAAAGAAATGAGGATGTCTTCATGGGAGAGATAACCTTGGAAATTGTTGGCTTGGCTCCTTGAGTGTTCCACAACAAGCTCTGTTCATTTACTGGGTCCTTGTTTTGTCCTGTGTTTGTATATAGGGGCACATCCTGTTTTTCTTTTGATTGAGATGAAAGCACTTTCCTTGAAGTTTTTGTCAGTAAAGTGAGAATATGCCCGTTCTTTAGAGTGGAGTAAATGGAATATGTGGACTGAAAGCACTCCAGTGACTTAGTGTGGCCCCTACATTCACTGCCCAATGCAGTTGTTATCCTGCAAAACCCTTGGTAATTAAGTTTGTTCTTCTTGAAGCACCTTTATCTATAGCCATATATAGTTGGAAGGTTCAGAAATGCATTTTTCACATCCTTGTCAAATATATTTTAAGGGTATTGCAAGAGTCTTTGCCTTCTGATAACCTGACTGTGTTGCTTCTCAGAAACAGGGCTGTGTGAATCTCACAATTTAAATGCCATGTGTGACTGGGGAAGTCTTGATAAATACCATTACCTCAGCACGCTGACTAGGGGAATAATAGATCCTGGTAGCTGGACCACCATTAGAATCTGTCATCATGATAAAATATGTCTAGAACTCCAAGATAATGAGTTTGACAGAAATGAAATTTTTTGTATTATCTTCTGCATTTGGAAAAAAAGGTAAGCTGAAAGGACCACTTGCTTTATTTCAAAGCAGCCACATAGAATGTTCTTCCACCTGTCTGATAAATTTATCAGTAGACCCAGGAAACATGGAGCCTACATCCAAAAATAAGATTTGGGCTACATTAAGTTAAAAGACATAATTAGGTATGTGAAATAGCAAAGTTAATCATATGGAATTCTCTTGTTTCTGGTTGTACTTGGGTTTATTGTCTTCTAATTTGGCTTTGTTGGATTGTTTTATTTCTTCCCCAGTCCCCAAATTACCAAAGCCTCCTGTTCATTTTAATTTCTGCTTTTGATTACTATTTCTTAGTTATTCAGCACTTTGATTAAAATGCCTGTCAGCAAAGGCTCTGTTTCTATTTGATCTTTGATACAATTTGCCACCTCACCTTGGTTTTAGTATATTCTAGAGAAGAGGACTTGCAGGCAATCAAGGAACAGAGCCCTCTCTTTTAGAGCTCTTTGATATCTGTGTTGTGGCTCATGCTGCCTTCTTTACCTCTGCTGAAACTGCTGGATTTTGGTTTGTTAGTGGCTTTTTTTTGGGGGGCAGGGTTTTTTGGTTTGGTTTTTTTAAAATGACTGCACCAAAAATAAGGGTAGGCTTGTTTTCCCAACCCTTAGCTATGAGTCAGTTAAGGGCACTGGGGAGACTTTCAGGCAATGTGTCCCAAGGGAACTTCATGTTACATGTAATCCTAAACATTTTTTAAATTATTATTTCTTACTCATTTCCAAGCTTCAGTGGAATTGCATTACAGCTCTGTCATGTGGTGCCAAGAAACCCATCTAACTTTTTTCTGAGCACAATGGCAATGAGGAAATCTTGGAGTCATACTCTGGAGCTTGATTACTGCATCAATGTCTTAAGTTAGCAACAAGAAATTAGTGAGACACAAATATTATTAAAATGGTTCTAGTTTAAAATCCTTATAGTAGTCTTTGGGGAAAGCTGGTGTTTTGAGTTGAAATTCAGTTTGTGCTCTCTCATGTTCTCACAAGGAAAGAAGGCACTTGTTTGGTGGTGTTTTGAAATCTTGCCCTGTTACTCAAAGATGTATCTGAGGTTACTAAAGTAGGACATCTTGTTATAAGTTACATTTAGTTTCTCCTTTGTTTGTAAAGTTTCCTTTAACTTAAATACCTTGTAAACAAACCTATCCAAATCCTTTAAACCAAGGATTAAAAGACACAAGGTGGTTGGATGAAAATATGCTCTTAAGCATCTCTGGTGTAAGATAAGTCCTTAGAAAAACATACTTAAAAATAGTTGTATGTTCAGGTTTCTGTTTGTGGAAAGTGTGGGAGTGGTTTAACAAGAAAATAACAAAGACAGAGAGCTTTCCCTGCCTAAAAATATACCACAGATGAGATGATAGTGCACAATCAGTAACAGTTTGAGCAAAGGGGATGATCACAACTCCTCTCTGTGCCAGAGCCTCCCCACCCTCACAGTAAAGAATTTTGTCCTAACGTGATGTAAATCTTTTCTCTTGCATTTAAAACACTTCTGCCTTGTCCTATCACTGTGTAAAAACTGCCACAAGACTTCCCTAGGGAAACCAAAATTATCAGAATGTGCAAGAATAGAAATGCTGCATCTGAAGCAAGGTAGCTTGGAACTGTCTAATTATTGTGAAATGGATTGTGGGAGGGGGAGAAATGTGGATATTGAGTAAAACCAAGAAATTCAAATACACTAAAGCAGACCTGAGTATTCAAAGAATTTACTTTGAGTAATAGAAGGTGAGGAGTTCATGCTTTGGCACTGACATAATTTCCAGTGAGGGTGATGGACACTGCACCTCACTGACAAAACAATGATCTCACTCTGCAAGTCACTTAGTCTGCAGCTAATTCTCTGTAATTGGTAAGAACTTCATGTTTTGATGGTGATTTTTTTCACCTGTTCAGCCAGAGATCTGCTGTCAGTGGTGTTCTTTAAGAATCCTCACAAACCTAGAGGTCACAGAAACCTAGAAAGTCATGATCTCCTCTGCCCAAAGATCACTTCATTAAGGTCCAAATATTGATATATTTTAAAGCAGTATTTGAAAATAAAATAGGAACAAGAGAAAGGGCTGCAGCAGGATAGAGTACAGGTGAGATTGTTTCCATTTAATTGGATATGTAGTTTGAATTCATGCTTAACAGCTTTGTATTGCTCTAAGTGGTGTGAGAGATTTGTCTTCCTGTCAGTAGAAGTGCAGACTCAGAATTTGTGCTGTGCACCATCCCACCTGCTTTACACTCCCATTTCATCTCTGTCAGACACAAGAGCTGACTATCACAGCCTTGGAACTCACCTGTAATAAATGTAAGGCAGGTTTTTTAAAAAAAAAAACATAGAGGCAATTTTACTATACTTAGTTTGCCTATAGCTGGATATATCAGGGTGAAATAGAGTATAAGAAACCAATTCACTTTTTTTTTAATCTTGTCCAAAAATATATTGTTATATCACTTATTGTCATTTGTTTTGGAATTACACATCTGGAAGCTGAACATAACTTGCTTTAGGTGAGCTCAGCCATCGTTGGCTGCAGCCTGTTTGACTAAGAGGTGGGACTGAACTGATAGCAGAGCAGTGTGTCACGAAACGTTTTCAGTAAATAGCAATATGATTCAGACCTGTGGTGAGAATGAGGCCACTTAAGAAAATGAAACTAATTATAATTGCTGTTCTTATGACCAGTTCAAAAGCTAATATGAGACCAAAGTTGCCTAGAGATATTGTAAACAGGAGTTGTTTAGAATCTTAGTTTTAACTGTTCTCTTATTTAAAAGTGACCTGGAGGAACTGTCTAGGGAAAATGTTGACGTATTGAAATGTCTCCCACAGCTCCCTGAAGTTGCATGAAAGCAGGTCAATAATCTTGTAGCACTTTAATCACTTTTTTCTCATTATAGTTTACCATAATATTCAAAGTATTGTTTTGCATGAGAATTGAAGGCATGAATTGAAATTAAGTCTTTTAATTTGAGAGAGAGCCACATGTTAACAGTCAAAATTTACTGATAGGCTTCTAATTGTCAGCAACCCAGAAGGAGCAGGGGCTTGAAATGCTTAAGAAGAATGTGCTTGAAGATCTGTCAACAATTCCATTTGGAAGGCAATCTGCAAAAAATCATCTGATAGAGCAGGCTCAGAACTTCATCAAGAGTGCCTTCCGTGGGCCACTTGAAACTCTTGGTCTGTTCTTCTATTTGTTTGTTAAAAGTATGAAGAATTATATTTTCCATGACTTCCTCAAAAACCTCGTGAATTGTCAATAAATGAAGAAGAAGGAACAAGAAAAACAAGCAGACATTTATTTTTGCCTGTGTGTGGGTCAGGAGTTTGACTTTCACGGATGTTAACATAAGCAAAGCATAAAGAGAGAAAGTTTTTCAGGCTGCATCTGCTGAGGGCTCGCTTCTTTGGAATAAAGCAACCTTGTGATGGCTGTCCACAGGATTGCTCAAGATAAAGGTTAATGGATGAGAGAGAAAAATTCCAAAGGGAAAAAGGGTAGAGCGGCATTTTTAAATAGAAGATTCACTGTAGAGTGAAGAATATGGCATTGTTCTTTCCCCTTGTTTAGACTGCTGTTAATTTCAAAGGTTCTGGCTTTGTTTTCCCAGCTAATTCCATCCCTTAAAGCTATGACTTCTTGAAGTAGCCTTAAAGACTGATCTTGATCGTAGGTAAACCATTCTCATCAAGTTCATTTTCCTATAGTTGCTCTCAATCATGAAGATTGTTCTGATGCTGTAATATTTTGACCTCAGGGATGCTTTGCTCTTCATTAATTTTGATGGACACTCTGCAGATCTGACACAAAATTTTGGGGTTGTGATCACTGCTTCTAAACAAATATAACCCCAAAAGTAGCATATCTGAGACATTTTTACAGATTTTGTATTGCCAAGTAAACTTTTAATACTGCTTTGGTTTCTATTGGGGTTTTTTTTCCTCTCTTTGTGCAGTAATTGAGATTTTTATAGACAGGCCAAGGAACTTCCATAGCATTCAGACTTTGTTTTTCTCTAGCAGAAGTGGCTTCTAAGAGAAATATTGTCACTGAGCTGTAGATGTCAGTTGTGCCAATGCACACATAACACTCCCTTTCCACATTGTATCCCGTGACTCTTAAAGTTGAAAAGCTCTCCAGTTGCTTAGAAAAATCCCACTTGATCTAAAAGCAGTAGGTGCCAACTTTCTCTTTGTTTCTTGCACGAGGTATGTTTGTTACACTAAGACAATTCATATATACTTTATGTGAAACTGAAATAAGCCAAGCATGATTTTATAGATGAAAGCTTCTTACTGAGCAAACTTAATATGATAAACTAACAGCCACTCTGCTGTGCTTTCAAATATGTTTTGATATATACCTCCTACAGGTTTTTAAACATCAAAAATTGCTATATATGAAGTTGAGCTGACTTGGAAAATTAAAATCAAGGTCTGTCTTTTAAGATAACTGATATATTCCCTACAGAAGGGGTTTATTTTGCATAAAACTTGCCTCAAACCTGTTGTTCCTGTGAAAGAGCAGCAGAGCTGTGAGTCCATGTTCACCCACAGAAATACCGAACTCTTTGCAAGGCAGACATGCATTATTTTTATGTCTTGACACTTAGGCACATTTCCATTCTAAATCCCTCTACAAAGACTTTTTCTGGTGTTTGTAAATTTATAAACATTAAGTAAGAGAAGAGTGTTTACCTCTGAATCTTGTGCTGGTGGCTTTTACCCTTTACACAGGAACTCCTGAGGTTAAGCTTCAGTATAATCCCAAAAAACATTTTTCCAGAATATTCCCTAGGCAACTTGTCTTGAATAGCATTCCATGAAGTATTTCCTTCATTCCTCCTGCTTCTAATTCTTCTACTGTCGTCCAAGCGTGATCATCCTCAGGAGCGGGAGGTAGAGTGAGAGAGAAACTGCCTTTTGCAACTGCAGGACAGGCAAATTGATTACTCTGTGCCTGGGGAATCTGGTCGTGCCTGTTTGAAAGCCAGCCCTGCTGGAGGCGGATCCCTCGCAGTGCCAGGAGCAGGAAGTGCCTTGGAGCAGATCCCTTTAGGAGCTGTGAGTGGAGCCCTGCTTACCTTGGAAGCTCAAGTGTAACTGCAGGCTTTGCTTTCTTCTGCATCAAAGCGTGGAGGGAACAGGAATTACTGAGGGTAGGTGCATCTGTTCATGGGGATAAAAATAGCCCCTACAGATAATGCATTTTAGTACAAAATACTTAAAGTCTGTTTAGAAGTTTGACCTAAAGTCTGAAGTGAGCAGAGGGGTCCATCAGTAGATGGACCTCAGCAAAACCACTTCACTTTCTGGGCACAATAGGCAGAGAGCTGCTTTTCCAGGTACAGCACTTCAGCCATGGTTTTGTTAGTATTGCTGCAGAGAAAGTGGAAGCTAATTGACCAGAAAGACAAACGTGACACCTTTGAAGGTGTTAGAGGTTAAAAATCAGCAGCTACTGGGAGCTGTGGGATGTTAGTATCAAACTGCCACTGAGCCATGCAGTTTACCAGCATTTCATTCTGCTTCAGCTGTGCTTTGTAGGCTGTGCAGAGCAAACATAGTGCCAATAGTGCAGCTATTTAATCTTCAGGTGAGAGAGGAATAGGCTGTGGCAACAAACACTGCTCAGAAATATTTCCTTCAATTAGCTCTAGATGAATTGACAGCACTGCTGAGGAATGCTTTTTGAGTCTAAGAGGCAGCACAGTAGGATTTTCAGACTGTAACAAAAATAGGTTATGTGGGGGAGAAAAAAGTGAAGGTAACTTTTTTCCAGTCTCAATTACTTTTTTTTGCATTGCATCTCAGTTTTTCCTTGGTTTAGCTTTGGTTTCATAGCTGGGAGGACAAGTCTTGTTCTAGCTGTTTGGTGAAAAGAAGCAGTGCCAGAGTGTTATAAACATGCTGAAAGTATCACAGGTTCTGTATATGCTGTTGAGCAGCAGTTGGGGAATCCCTGCACTAAATCATACAAAGCACTGCAGAAGTTCTCTCTTTAAGAAGTGGGATTTCATTATCAAGGAAGGGCAGGGAAGAGCTTTATGCTCTTACCAGCTCTGCTGGCCAAGCCAGCAAAGTTCTCATTATCATTAAGATGTAGGGATTTTTATCTCGAGGATGATGATAAATAAGTGAATGGTTTGGACCACAAATAGTTAAGAATGGTGAAGATTGAGAGAGCTGGACATTTGAGATGCTGCTTTTCTATGGTCTCCTTCATAAATAAATTCTTCTTGAAAAGGAAGATAAAAGATTAGATAATGAATCGTAGCTCACGAGGGTAATGGTGACAAGGAATGTGGAGTTTTGGGCTGTAGATGCAACACAGCTTTTTTCTAATGTTTTTGGTGCTGAAAAATCTCTTGGAAGTGAAATGATTTAGAATTGAAGCTCTCATAATGGGATTCTAGAGAATAGAGACAAGTAAGGTCTTTGATCAAATTCAAGTGCTGACAAGTTCTGGTAACTATGGAGTGAATTCTTACCACTGTTCCTTCCCAGCAAGGAATTAACATAAATTTGAAGTACAAGCTTTGGCCTAAGTTCCCTAAAAGCCATTTGAATTCATGAAAATGACTTAAAATTTCAGGAGGAAGGCTATGATGTCTGGTTCCAAGACCTTCTGCCCTTGAGCTCATGGATGCCAAATATTTGTCGTCTTATCCAGAAAATTGAATCAGAGTTCTCATGTCATTGAAATGTTGTTAAATTTCAGAGGAACATTATTGTAGTGGAACTCCTTTATTAGAGAGAAGCAAGTACAAATTTCATATTTACTAATGCTGTGCAGCACTCTAGCTTGGATTATTAATGTTATAGAAAGTACAAAATATGGTTGGATTGTAATTTTATACTCCTAAATGAATGTCCGTCTTCTAGAGTCCTGTTTCCTACCATATAAATGTGACAAGACAATGATCTTCATCTTACAGAATACTTATTTTGTGATTTATGTGGGAGTCTTTTGCTTTCCTCTATTTAATAAAATATGTTCTTTAGAGCCATTCATGCAAGTTCTTCCCTCTACACTTTTAAGTTTTACTCAGGAAGAGCAAGTTCAAAATGTTGTTAAGCATCAGAGAGAAATGCTGGGTAGCAGGCAGAGCTGAGACGAACCACTTTTAAACAGGGAAATGCTCATGGTTTGCGAAGTTGCAAAACTGTGAACTTTCCTTCAGAGACTCCAAGATGTGAAGCAGTATGGTCTTTTATGTCCATTTTCTTAACTGTAAATATAATTCCTTTCTCTAGAAATAATATTTATTTATTACTAAGCACCTTGGTGATTATCTAATCAAGTACCTGATTAAAATGGTGCATAGATTAACATGCTTATTGAGTAGAAGAAATGATTAAAGCTGAAACAAGGAATTTCATCTTTTCTTTCTCAGTCGTCTTTCTAGTTTTGTCACCAGCTCAGCTTTTGGAGATGTAAGAGCCTCTCTTGTAGCAGGATGCTGAGTGTTTCTTTTGATCTTCCCTCCAGGCTGGCAAATAAGCAGGACAGAGAAGGAGCTCTGTCAGAAGCAGATGTGATCGAGTCCTTATCTCTGGAAAGGCTGGTTAATGAACACAAGTGTCTCTGTCAAATTGTAAGTAGATTTTAAGATGCTGTATTTTCTCATATAGTTGTAAAGCTTCCTTTAAGGTAGGAAATTAGGCTGCATGGCATAAAACTGAAATTTAGATGTAGTACTCATTGTCCTGTTAAGAAAAAACCTAGCAGGAAGTCATTGTGGGGGGAGCCAAAACCAGGAGTCTATGAAAGCTGTTTAATATTGGTCAATATTTCAGATAATATATCCAAATTAGTAGTCCCTGAAGTTTTTCTTTAGGGCTTTGTTTTAATCTCCCAGTGTCTTAGATAGGGCTTTACTTCCACAATCTTTTCCTGATGGCAATAAAAAACATTTTGAAAGATAATGAGGGTTATGGTGTTATTAACCAAGATAAGAAGGCAGTTTTGCAGAACCATTTAAGCTTTGGATTTTAAAATTAAAAAATAATTTTAATTCAGTAGGGAGATTTGCAAAATTTATAGAGCACTACATACTGCTATTATTTTTGCTGATAGCTGAGTTAGAGCAGGGCATAGCTCTGTTTATTATGTCATGATTATCTGAGTGTTTTTCTTCTGTTAGTGAGCTTTGCACTATGCACATATAGCAATCATAAAAATTAAATTTGCAAGTTCATCCTTGTTTTTTTTTTCCAAGGACCTTCTGTGCCAAAAATATTTTCTTGAAAAATATTCAGTAAAAGATGACCTGAAAGATACTAGTGTATTCCAAGGCATTTGAATTGCTTAATTTCTGACATGCTGTTCTTGTTCTCTATTTATATTTTATGTGTAATTAGGAAAGACACCAGATCACACACTCTGAAGGCTGCTTCATGCTCTAATAGGCACCTTCTGTACCAGGCTCTTCAAAGATAAACATGGTCCCAAATTCCTTCAGTAGGAGAGCTCCTGGGGTCAGTTTAAACAGAGGCATTGTGAAACAAGATGCAAAGTTAGGCAATGACCAAAAAACCTTTTGTTTCTTCTTGTAGTTAGTTTTCCACTAGATCTTTAAATTTCACCACAAAGTATTAAAGCAAAAGGAAGGAGTAACTTGTCTTGCTGTTGGACAGTGTCAATGAGAATGACCTTCCTCTTTTTCTTATTTAATATGTCTGTATATTCCATTTTTCTAAATGTTTATATTTTGTAACCAAACTGCAGCAACAATAATTTTGGTGCAAACTGAGAAGAGCATTGCCCCAGTGCTGGCCAGTATTTGATCTCAGTTTTCTGAGAGAAACAAGTTGTCTACATCTTCTATATATCTCCTTCCTGAGTAGGTTCTGCTGGAAGGTATTGCAGGGTTCATAGTGAAAAGGACTCATATTTGAGCCTTAATTTAAACATAACTGGTCAGTTGGTTTTTTTCTGTTGCAAATTTGACATTCCATATCTGACTGTGGTGCCATTTAAATCCTTGTCAGATGGAGAAAGCACTGAGAGTTTTTCAGATGTTGGCATTGGAGAGTCTCTTTTAATCTTCATAAACACAAATCCTGAACACGATCAGTGTGAAATATCATCTCTACATGTCATACACAGTGCTGGTTCTGTTCAGTTGTTATTCAGAGAATGTTTTAAAAGACACATACAGTGTTCCAAAACAATCTAAAAAACAGCTCTCAGGAGATTCTGAGAGAGTATTGTTTCCATGTTCCAAGCTTGAGTCAAGCCCTGCCTCTTTTCTCCCAATTAAAGCCTATTTTACTTGTCCTCCTGACATGAAAAATTAAGAGGAAATTATTATTTTCCTATTTGCAGTTTCACCTTATATTTTTGAAGGCTCTTGTCCTATCTCCCTGAAGTGTTTTAATCTCAAGAGAGGCACTCTTGGTCCTTCAATGTTTTCTTACCAGATGTGTTCTCAGAAAAATTTCAGAACTATTTTCTCAATGAGATTTGTATTTCTCTTTCAACAGATTTGCCTAGATCATGTTTCTCTCACTTGCTGCTGAGAGTATAATGACAAAAAGTATGACTCCAATTGAATTGCAGTGCCTGTTCTGATGTAAAAAATTGGTTTGACAACTTTTCTGTCAAATTCACAGGAGATTTTATTTACTCCCAAGGTGCTTATGAACATGTTGAATTTTTTTTTCATGAACTGAAGCAAAGCTGATTCTCTTTGATCTCAGATTTTTCCATTTTGATTGATAAATCTAGCATGGACTATTCATAACGCGTAATTCTCAGTGTTTTACAAGCTTCATAGTCAACGGTAATTGTTCAGCTAATTTCTTGTTTCCAGTCAAGGAATGTGTTCTGAACTGCAAATGTTTCCCTCCTTTTCTATATATTTACAGGAGCCTTGCTCAGCG